AGTTATTTCCGTATAGTTTTCCGATGGTATTCCGTGAGATTACGGGGCGGTTCCGGTAATTTTTCCCGAATGGTTATGGTGGCGGGAATAGTGCGGAACACTCCGGTTACAATACGGTGATTTCCAAACGGAATACTGCTTCCAACTTCCGGATAGTTTTCCGGTCCGTTTCCGGTTGGAATGTCATTGTAAATCACTGGAAGTAGCGGGAAATAACATCGTTTCCCGCGGTTTCCCGTCGGTTCCGCAGTCCGGAATCATCGACCTGGGTCTAAATAATTTCAGATTGCCTTTTGTAAAAGTTAAATATGATCTACAAAAACTTGTAGATATAAAAATAATGTCTTCGCTAAGATCAAGATCGAATCCCCGATGAAAACATTCCGATAATGTGTTCATGACGCATGATATATTTCTATGTACACGATACGTCTGTCGTTATGGGTAACTAAAGGAAAAGTCTTAATGATCACGTGCACGTTCTGTTTACACTGGTTCAATCGAAATGGAGCGATTGTTTCAATAAATGATAGACGTGTAAATAAACGAAAACATATAACTTCACTACAAAAACTTGAATATCACAAATTTAGTTTTATTCATTATGAAAAAATCCAATGAAATCATTTTATTAGCTATGAAATATTTCTTACACCATATTAGGAGATTCTATATCAAGTGATGGAGTTCTTCCATAGTAAATTATTTCAATTTTTAGTAGCGCAATTGATTTATCTAGTTGTGTCATGGTTGAATAAGAATGAAGAGTACACGATCTCTTTTGTTTCGTTGCGTTCTGTTATATCGTTCTGCAACAATCGATACTGCCAGATAATAGAACAGAGCATTATGCAATACAAATATAATCATTTTTATTTCGATCTAGTAGATTCTATAAAAATGACTAATTAGGTATTTTTTTTATTTCATCAGATAGTCAATGAGCAGAAGTGTTGGTTTAAGCAATACTTAATTCATAGTCAACAAAAAAAAATCGTACTAAAACTGTATGCTGATATCCACGAACATAATTGATGTTATATGAAGAAAAAAGGCATATATGGAGTATGTATGAAAACAAAACATGTCATTCTATGCATTTCATTATTGAATTTCATGTTAATCGCTGTTTATTGATTTATAAATTTAAATGTCCATGAGACTCAGTTCTTTAAATAAACAACGAGATGCCTTTTATTTTCAGTTGTTAATTGTTTTATTATTGTTTGAGTTTTGAATTTAAGTCAATTGAGTATATCAAGCTAATCATGGATGATTGAAGCATTGCTTTATATATTTGCTAAGATATATTTGCTAAGATATATTTGCTAAGATATATTTGCTAAGATGTATTTGCTTGATGTACAGCTGTTGACATTGTACAATAGATTCTGTCTTGCTATTTCTTTGAATTTTCAAATGAAAAAGAAAGATAGAATAACATTTTCAGTTTTGCTGTGCTCTGCAGTTATCTGTATTGCCTAAATAAAATTATTTTGTTCTAAACTATTAATAATAACTTCAGTGAAAAACATTTGCTTTTGAAAACATCTTTAACATGGTTATAACAAGTAACGCTCGTCGCTGTGCGATTCGCTTAACCCTCGACTGAGGAGTTCAAAGCAAGAGCAAGACCAAGGGTATACAATTCTATTTTGCCCGAGGCAACTTTTAGAATATCANCATCACGTGTGACGGCTAAGGCAGCTTCAATCGTAAAAGGAAAAAATACTTCTTTTGTTTCATTTATTGCTAAATGAATACGTTCAAAACCAAATAATTGTTTAAAAGGTACTGTCTGATTATCGATTGTATTTGGTTGTGCAACATATGCTAGAACAACGTCATCGCCAGCCATGTTTCCAGTATTTGTTACATTTACACGAATTAAAGAAATGATTGTACGCAGAAAATTATGATTATTTTCTATCAAAGATTGAATAGAATACAAAGAAACAATTGTATTACTATTCCATGTATAATTAAATGTAGTATATGATAAGCCATAGCCAAATTCATATACAGCTTTACCAGTATAAAATTTATAGGTTCGACCAGGATTATTCGATGATGATCGCATTTGCATATCAAACATACTTACTTCATCAACATACGAAACTGGATAAATTGTCACTCGTAAACGGTCAGCTGGATTGTATTGACCAAAGACAACTGTAGCTAGGCCAAGTCCACCCGATTGTCCTGGATAACCAATCCAAAGAAGACTAGCACATTGTGTTGAATCTCTAATATATGATAAATCAACTCCACCACCTGACATAATCACAATATGAAGTGGTGAACGAGTTACTTTTTCGAGTTGTTTTATTAAAGTAAGTTGAATATCTGGTAAATCAATTGATTTACGATCGACTCCTTCACGCTCAATCGTACCCAGGTCAACATGGACGGTCCGTAAACGGTAGCAAACTGATAAAAAACGTTAACTTTACGGAGGCCCGATGTTTTTCGAATACGGGTATACGTTAACAATATAGATACGGATATATTCCGGCCCTTTTTACGGCGCTGTTTACGTTGGAGCGTTTACGGCGCGATAAGAAGTGCCGTCTACACACTGTTTTTCAGTCGATTCTGTCTAATAATTTCAAAGGTAATTTCATGCTTAGTATCAATTTATAGATAAGTTAATATTTCATTGTTCTCATGAAAAATTAGGAAAATAATGAAAACTAAACAGAAAAAGATATATAGCAACTCTTATCGATACGACACGCTAGCAACACATGTGTCGACATACATTGTGTTGTACATGAGCTATTGTCACGTTTGGACAGTGTCATAGTGCTTCGACATATGTCTCGTTCAGTGTCACAATCACGTCTGTGACATTTTTTTTAAGAATTCTATTGATTCATCTTTCTGTCCCCTAGTAGTCGAGAAATGAGTACGAGTGATGAATAACCCTGTATTCTCTTTTCTTTTTAGCTTATCGATATTAGAGTTAATTATTTCATGAAAATCGATTTTATTTGCAGGAAATATTTTTAAAAAATTGTAAAAAACAACGTACAAAATGAATAAAACAATACAATTAAAAGCATAACAAATAAATTGAAAAAAAATACAATTAAAATAAAACAGAAAAGTCAATAAAATATAATCAAAAAGATAACGGCAAGATTAAGAAAATAAATAAAAAGAATAAAAAGAATATTTTAAACGAATACAGCTTAAAAAGTATAATTTAAAAAATAACAGTAAATAAACAATGATGTAATTAAAATAAAAAATTCTCTATTGTTTTGATTCTTTGAGATTAAGACATTCACAGTAAGGGAAAACGAATCTAAAAAATAAAATCAGTCGTCAAGTATCCTTAAGAAAAAAAAGATGTGTATCATTACAAATTATTTTGCTTAAACCACGTGAACATAAACTTAAAATTATAAAACTAAATTCTCTAATAGGTGTGCTGTCAGAGCAGAAAAAACACATTCGTTAAGCAAATCAATATCAAATTCACTGTAAATGGCGCTGTTCAAAATTTTGCAATGGGCCAATTATGAGATAGATAGAGAAAACTATTCTACCAAACTGCAGTTTCAGCTTTTCTCAAAAAAATGTTTATACCTCGAAATAATCAATATACTCTAACCAATAAAAGCAGCGATCATCTATAGGGGACTTATTTGAAAAACAAGATTATGCCTAACATTCTATTGACACTAATCGATAGAAGCAATAGTTCTCTATCAGACTATCCTTCCAAATTTTTTTGTAAAAATGTTTATACCGAGAAACAATCGATACGATTGCACCAAATTTGATAATAAATCGATGATTCATGACTATTGGTCCATAGACTATAAGAAAAAAACGAATTATTTATACATGTTCGGACACATTTATTTTCTTTCCTTTCGCCTTACATGCACATAAATTTAAATTTTCGTCGAGAAAAATAGAACGGAACGACCGTTTTTATCTTTCCTTCATTTTGTCCATATTATATCCTTACGTATACAAGACTGTTAGCAATCCAATATGTCGGCACATGACGTACAAAATATACAGTGTATGAGACATGCAGTTTTTACATAGCGACGGATTTCAGTGCCATCTATATAAAATATAGAAACCAAAAGAAATTGCTAAATAAGGTTTACAGTTTAAATTCTAATAGCCTAATTTTCAATTTATAATATGAAAAAAAAAGTTTCTATTCTCTTTTAATATACTAGCACATACCTGTCTAGGCAAGTATGCATGTAAGTATATAAAGTACTGAAAATGTACGCAAAGCTCAATTATTTATCTATTTTCGAAATAAATTGTTTTACTATAGGATTTTACATTCACGACTGCCAAATTCATATATTGCCGGCCTGCTTGCACCCGCATAACATTTACTAATATTCTTTGTCTTCTTCCAATATCTGGAATAAAATTTAGCCTTACTTTTTTCATTAACTATTTTAGATGAATATTAATGGATTCAATAGATTTTAAGGTTCAATATCAATTTAGTCTACACAAAAGAAAAGAAAGATACAAAAAGCACAATGCTGCACGACGACAAATAAGATCAGAGAAAAAGAAGTTTTTTTCTCTCGTTTTTCAACACCAACACAAAACAAATTATCCTTGGCTGAAGTGAATTTGAAAATCATTATTGAAGATGAATATACTTGTTTACATGATAATCATCAATTTAGCAATGACAACAATCATTCTTTTATTGAAAATACATCAGAAGAACTAAATCAAGGAAATGATTATGAAATATCTATTATATCAAATGATGCTCATGCTGGAACACCATTAACAGAAAAGGCACAATCAGATGATGAAGATTGTGTCTCGCTAGAAAAAGTACCTTTACACGATTATACTATTGATTCAACTTATGATTATTGTGAAGCATTCACCATCGTTGCACGCCACGCAAATTTATCTAAAAAAAGTACAAACGATTTTTTATCTTTGATTAAATCTGGGCTTCCGATTCCAAATAATATGCCAACGACAGAACAGGAACTTTTACTGTTGCTTGGCGTTAATGAATTATTTACAAAGCGAACTCTATGTTTATTGTGTTATAATGAATTTAGTTATGACAATAAATTTTGTCCACAGCGTTGTTCAACCGATAGAAGTTCAATTGCTTGCATGTAAGTTTTATTTATATCATATATATTTCTCTTGATGTATACTACAAACTGAAATTTCATTCGCATTTTTTTTAGATATGACAGTAATGTTGAATTAATCATACAAAAAATTATAGCACGACAATCATCAAATTTTAATGAGCATAAAAAAAATATTTACAATAATACTGATTATGAAAAAACAAAAGATATTCCATTTGGAACTCTTTACCAATATGTTTTGAAGCAAAATGGCTACCAAGATTTAATCAGCTTGTTGTTGCACGCAGACGGTATTGGCATTACAAGTTCAACCAAATTGAAAATGTGGATGTTAAGTGGTTCAATTGTAGAATTACCAGCAAAACTGCGTTCTCGTCAATGTAATATGGTCATCATATCTATTTGGATAGCATATATCGAACCACCTGCGAAATTATGGCTGAATTACTCTGTAAATAAATTGCAAATAATAAAAGATCAAGGTATGCACACATTTCTGTTGATCACGTTTAAGAAAACGATTTTCATGTTGTTGGATATCAATTTCAGCTTGTTCACAAGTTGGAAGCTTCGAAAATTTTGTGAAATAGTCGGTCTCCTTAGAATATAAGTATAACTGATTCTATTAGTAATAGCATATACATTTGATAAAAAGTCAAAATCACTGTAGGTGAATTCATGATTATTCACTGTTGCAACAGTGATGGCCAATAATATATACTTTGTCTACATTTTTAGGTATTGATATTTTGAACGTGAATCACAAGCTGATAATATTCGGAATTACAGGTGACTGTCCTGCTTCAAGTTTAATCATAAATTTTATCAACCACAATGGATATTTCAGTTGTTGGCTTTGTTTTATTGAAGGTGAACACATGAATAAAAAACGCCAATATCGTTATGACACAGTACGTTTGCGAACAACGGATCAATATTTTAAATTATCAAAGAAAGCTGAACTTACACAATCAAATATACGTGGTCATTTAGGCGAAAGTGTGCTTAATAACATATTGGATGTTGAGTTTCCTGAAGCAATCGTGTTGGATTACTTACACGTATCTCTTTTAGGTCATGCTAAATTAATTATTTTATCTGTTTATAAGCAGCTGAAGCCAGCACAACGTAAAGAATTAAATTCTTATTTGCGCAATCAATTCTTTCCTCGTAAGTTAGTCCCACTTGATCCGATTATACTTGTCTTTCATATTTTTTCGAATACATATTTTTTCTGGTTTTACATAGACTTCTTCAACAGAAAGTTACGATCAATTGATAATTTTGGTTTTGTGAAAGCCACCGAAGTCAGCAACGTTTTATTTTATGGTTTATTGCCACATCTAATTTCATTTATGCAAATTGAACAATATTCTCATTTAGCATTATATGTGTGTGCTATGCGTTTACTACACAGTGGTGATGTTTTTGATGATAAAACAAGTGAAGTTGCTGATCAATTATTTACCGAATTTTACAAAGACCACGAATTGTTCTACAAGACCTCACAAAGTTTAAAATTGCATTTACATGCTCATTTTGCATCTTTATATGAAACGCATGGATCGTTATGCAACCTTGGATGTTTCGGTCAAGAATCTTTTATTGGCTCTGTTAGCAGCAATCACCATGGAACGCAGTTCTATGGTGATTCTATTACCCACTTTTACAACATTGACTTTGCAATTCAAGATAAAAAAAAGGAAAGACAAAACTTAATGGACCTTATGATCAAGCGTCCACATCGGCAAGTGATTATGACTATTTATTGAATTTTCATTCTTTCATTTGTACTTGTAATGACTTGAACTCATGCATTAAAATTTTTCGTCGATTTATAAATTATGATAAGATGTTTCATTCGTTACTCTACAAGAAGCGACATAATTCTGTTAGTTATTTTGTTCGATATTCATTTAGTGATAATGTTCAAGAACAGCGTTTTGGTGCTATTGATTTATTTTTTATGTTTAATGGTTTTGGCTATGCACTTATTAAATACTATCCTGTTAAGGAATTTTTCAGCGATGCTTTTAAAAAGTCTAATTATTATTATTTGATAAAGAGGCCCATCGATTATCTATATTTTATTCTTGAAAAAAGCCACTGTCAACATGATGTTGTGCCAATTGATCAAATAATAAATCACTGCATTGTTGTCGAAAAAAATGACTATTTATTTGTGACTAATATCTTATCATACAATGAACACGATTAATTTTATTCATTTTTGAGAAAGATTTTTTCTGTTATTCTTCATCTTTTTTATGATGATTCATTATTTGTTACTGAAATGAAACTTTTTTTTCTATAGAAAATCAGATGCAATACTTGATTTTCATTTTTCTTGTTCATCTTGTATTATTTATTGAACTTATTAGGCATCATTCAGTTGAAATTTCGTTTTCTAGATCGTCTAATACTACTAATCGGCATCGATCATGAGTGGTAAAATCACACAAATAATTACAAAACGATCGATCAAACCAAAGGCTCAATACTCACCATCAAACCCAACGGCAACAACAAAACACCATTTGATAATTTTTGATGGTACTGGAAATATGATGATTGTTGGTAATTCAAGTGTGAAACGACTTGAACGTGACGGTACAGTGAAATTGAATAATGGTACTACAGCTAAATTAATTGTATCAGGTAATATTTTTAGTTATTTCATGCAAACGATATGTATGCTAGTGCACATGGCATTTATATGTTTTAGGGACAAAAGATGAATGTGTGAAACGTTGGAGTAAACAAACACACTTATCTAAAAAAAGTAATAAGATCAATTTTTTCACTCTTAAATCACAATCCTTATATGTTTCGGATAATGACAACAATGAACAGCTTCGAAATGATGATGATGATGATGATGATGACGATCATGATGATGAGTTACCAGAATCAATGGAACAAACACTAGAAATGCCAGGAAATACATTTTCAACACGTATGTGACGAATTCGATCAAACGATAAAATTGTGCAATTCTGAATATTATTTTAGCTGCTCCTTATCGGCGCCGAAAAACATTAGTACGTCGTTCAAGCTCGCCTGATTCAATTTTGTCTGGTATTTAATCCATGAAACTACTCGCAAGCTTAATAAGTTTTCAATTATAATTCTGAAATTTTTAGTTTCTTCACCAAAACGATTTGTATCGAATGGTCGTGCAAACTATTCTACTAAATATGTCAATGATGATTTACCCTATTTACAAAGTCAAAGTCAAAGTCAAGCAGTTGAAGGTAGGAATATTTCTTGAAATAATAATTTGTGTCAGTGTACTAGTTAAAAATTGCTTTTAGAAACAGATCCTACAGTTATGTCTTCGTCAGATGATGAAGAAATTATGACTGCCAATAATTCGGTTTCTTTTGGTCGTTTATTTGAAGAAATAAAAAGTACAAAAGCGAACATACGTTATGTACGTACAGAAAATCATGGTATTCATCAACAGTTGACACGTTTAATAAAAAAATTGTCTCGTTTTAGCTCATTGGTACTATCGGTAATAGGTTATTTCTTATTTTACAAAGAAAAGTATTCCTATCGCTTTTTTTATTTATTTTTTAGAAAAATGAAAATGATCTCGACCGTTATCGTGACTCTAACATGAAAGAGAGCTACAAATCGGAAATCGGAATTCTCGTCTTGATGAAAACATTTTCATAGCTAACTTTCAGCGTTTATATCTGTTTAGATACACGATGGTTGTGATTTGTTAGAAGTTCCGGCAAGAAATCCCCGTGAATATGCTCGCAATTTGTTGAAATTATTGTTTAAGCCTCTTGAACTTCAAACATGTTTATTGCCATCGCAACAATCAAAGAGATATTCAAAATCAGAATTAGATCAAGAAAGATTCAACCGTTTGAATGGTAATGAAAGAGGTCTAGTTTTATTTTAAAGAAATTTCTTTGGATTTGCAGAAAAAAGTACTCTAACAGGCTTTCTCTCTTTTTTAATGTTTGGACGCTATTAGAACACGTTATCGTATTACAAAACATCATTACACTACCTTCTATAAGGAAAGAATCCAAGAAACATTAGCTGGGTGTTTATATAACGAAGGAACACGAAAAACAAAGAAACAACCAATACAACAGCAACAATTACACAAGGGAAATGAAATAGTTCATGGCAATACAACAGAAGTCGAAGATGAAATAAATTAAATCAGCTTAACATTAATTAATCACAAGAATGATGAATTCTGTAAATATATACAAATGAACTTTGCGTACTTTTATTATTCATATTGAACTACAAATGAAAAAACGCTTTTGTTTTTCTCTAATGCTTTGTTTTTGTGTCATTTAAGTGTGAACATTAATACTATTTCATTTTATTTTGTAAACGTTTTTTCTTCTGGGATTGAAATGAAATAAATAAATGAAAAGAAAATGACACATTTTAATGAAACAAATAGTAAAGGGTCGACACAAAAGAAGTCGTAAACGGATATGATACGATATGTTTACCACCGTTTACGGCAACAATCTGATGCAATACGAATGATGGCATTTTATCCGTAAACTCTTGGAAAACGACCAAATACTGTCAGTTTACGATACGGGTATAATACGGTACGTATTTCTGCGCCAGATAATACGGACCGACACGGGCCGAAAATGAGACGTATTGATGCCAATTGTTGCCGAAAAGAATCCGTTTTTATAACAATTACAATACGTTTTCGGGTCGTAAACGACACCGTTTTGATCGACCTGGGTATGATCGATTCCACCGAAAAAAAATACAATATCAGATGATCGAGCTAATTCAATTGCAGCAGCAAAATCTTTTTCATTATGACTTGGTATTTCACAACCACGTGCATGCTCAATATTAATAAAGTTTCCTAATAATAATAATAATAAAAATAAAAATAATAATAGAAAAATAAATATAGAAGAAAATTAGTTGTCCTAGCATTAATATCGTTTCAACATGCTGTTAGATTTTTAAATCCTGTCACAGAATCAATTAGAAATGGAGCTTGTCCATGATAAATTCCTTGCATTGTTCCTGTTGCATCTGCTGTGGGTCCAATTAATGCGATTTTCTTATTCTTCAAGAGATTAATATTTAACGGTAATGCTTGATCGACTTTTAAGTGATAATTGCCTTGCTTCTAATGTGTCAACATTATTCTTATTTAACTATCGATAGATTTATTGTTCTGGTGGATCAAACCAACCGAGACGAATAAGAACATCAAGTGTACGCATCAATGATTGATCAATATCAGTTTCAGCTATTTTTTTACTATTTAATGCGTCATATAAATGAAATAAGTAGAAAACACGATACCCAGGTCGATGATTCCGGACTCGGGAGCCGACCGGAGACGGCAGGAAACGGCGTTATTTCCCGACACTTTCGAGGATTTCCAAAGACTTTCCAACCGGAAATGAGTCGGAAAACTATCCGGAAGGTGAAAGCAGTATTCCGTTTGGAAATCACCGTATTGTAACCTGAGTATTCCGCAGTGTTCCCGCGACCGTAACCACTGGGGGAAATTCCCGGAACTGACCCGTGATGATCAGGAATACAAACGGAACACGCGACGGAACTAACGAAATCCAACCGGTTCCAGCTAGGAAAATTCTGGAAGTTCCAATCTTCCTGAGCTCTTGCTATGTCTTCTTTTCTCTCGCATTATTAAATTCAGTTATCAGCGAGACAGCAACGTGATGGTATGACAACAGAACGGAACAAAACGATAATCTCCCTTCGATGGAGTCGAACCAACATCTTCTGCTTTCCGGGCAGTTGTAATGCCACTATACTAGAAAGGAGCGTGTATTATTCGTTTGTTCCGTCTTACGATCGAAGGGGAAAACTTCGGTCGTAACTCTTTTGAAATGGGAATTCGATGAACTCCAAACAATATAAATAAACAAAGTTATTCAGTTTCACAGATACTATCGAACAATTTATTTGACGAAATCTAACGCAGAAGAACACTTTACTCCTATTGAAAATAGAAAGCCTTTTTAACAATTTCAGACTTGAAAACGGTAATTTCAATTGAAAAAAAATCGATTTAGCCATGTAAAAGGGAATTCTATTAAATGCCGCCACATATTTGTCATTTCATCAAACTTTCTAACGAATAACGCTTGTTCATGGTTCCATCTTTAACAAAAAAATCAGACTCATGCACTACGCCAATGGGAGTGATGTGACTGTTACAAGAAGTTTCAGCATATCAAGAAAATAAGGAAGACGTAGTTTTGACTAAACATTTGACCTATTCCAATACGAAAAACGTTTTGGTGGAGAACCCCGGTTATCTGTCGGATCTTAATCGGTTTGGATGACCTGGGTCGGTTGACCACCTTTGATATTAAAGGAATTTATGTTTCTCCCTGAATGCCAGTAAAACAAGCCTTTTTAAGTAGTCTTAGAACTTATTGCTTTTCATACGACCTATAATTTTTATAAATCCTTGCAGAGTTCATTAACATACGTACAATGGACAACGGTATATTATTTTAAACATTTTTCCAGTGAATAATAAACGATTTTCATAGAGTGATAGAACTATAAGCCCTTTGAGTAAAAAACCTTTTAGGGTTTTGAACAGCAACATAAACTGTTTAAGGACTTCGTATTCTAAGTTTTTATTTAAATGTAGGCGCCGACAGTAATATACAGAAGGAAAGAACAATGATCGTTAACCCTACCTCTACCTACGATCCGAATAGGGATGCACCAGTACCAGTATTATACTGGTCTACTGGTCCAGTAATACTGGTTTTCTACTTTCGAAAATAACTACCAGCTAAATGAGTAATTTTCTCAGCCGTCAGTTCCGGTGTCTATATTCAAGTGAAAAATTGAGTTTTGCCGCATTTTGAAACACAATAATATATTCTATTCTCAACTAGCTGATAACATTATATAGAACCTTTTTCAATAGTTTTCAACGTTTTTGAAGAGAAAAAGAATTTCATTCATGAATTTAGTCAGATAGTAAAGCAATCTTATGAAATAAACCGATGAATCGGAATACTGTGTTTAACATACCAACTTGAACTTAGGTTTAATCGATCACGAAAAAAACAATTGGATATTTAGTGAACTTTATCAACTTTTAGTTACATAAATCTCATATAAGTAAATTGCTTGATTTTTCTACTTCTCTCTCAGTCGAATGACACTATTTTCACATATATATTGCATTAATTTATGTATATAAGTTACATAGCTAGAGCTAGAGCTATTTTGTTCACGATATCGGATATGGAATAGATAATACATATATTAAATGAAAATTACGGCACGGTAAACAAGCAATGCCACTATTACCTACTCAATTTTGTAACGATACCAATAGTTTGATCGAATCTTTTAACTTATGTAAGCACAAATAATGCCCTTAACTCTTTATCGTTTTGGATTTATACCTAGAAGTTTAACCTGACACATCAATATAGTAGTTTTATTAGTACTGAATAAAATCAGTGCATAAGGTGCCCTCGTATCAATAGTTTTTTCTTATTTAATACTGATACAAGTGACAATTGTCATTGTTTACACATATACATTTCTTTTTTTCTCCATTTACTGACTTTTAGTGCTATATAATATATTCAATATAGATTTTCGAGTACGATTTCTTTTTTATACCATGACTACGACCTGAATTAATGATCTTTTTTCTTCAAAAACGCTGAAAACTATTGAAAAATGTTCTAGATAATGTTATCAGTTAGTTCAGTATAGAACATCTTATACTGTTTCAAACTGCTGCAAACCTCAATTTTTCACTTGAATATAGACACAGGAAGTGATGGCTGAGAAAATGGCTCATTTAGCTAATAGTTATTTTCGAAAGTAGAAAACCAGTATTACGGGTGGACCAGTATGACCAGTACCCAGTATACTGGTACTGGTGCATCCCTAGATCCAAATCTTGCAGCTCGAAGCTTCAAAGATATAATTGATAATTTAGCGAAAAAGACAGAATCGTTCAAATAACAAGGTTGTTTGCTAATCTGAGCCCTCGTTTTGGAGACCTATTCGAATTCAATGAGTATTTTATTGATTATCTTCACATGCGCTAGATGAATTTCGATATCCTTTTGAAGGGTATCCTTGTTGTAGTTTTACAAATAAGAGAATACAAACATAGATACAAAAACATATTGAAAGAGAAAGTTGAAATTTTCAACAAATATGCTACAAATACAATCAGAAAGCGTTTCTTCTTCAAAATTAAAGTAAAAAACAATGTAAAAATAATTGCATCTTGTAGTCTTTCTCAGGTCGTTTACAAGAAATTTTCTTTACCAGCTTGTCTCCTTATGATAACCTCATTCGGAACGAAGCCATTTGCAAGAATGTGAAAAACCTAGCTGAGCGATTTAAATTAATTATTGAGCTAGCCAAGAGAAAGAAAGAAATGACAGCAACGCGTTAGTTTATGTTGCTAAATCGTTCATGAGAGACTATCATCAATCAAGATTGCGAACAATATGCGCACCTTATACGTATATGATTTAGTGTCTTCGGATGATTTCTTCATAAACGGAATTGATCACTACAGTATGCACAATAGATATGAGAGGTATAAAGGTAGACGAGATATTGAAAATATTAGATTATCGCTTTTAACAGGAAGCAAAAATGAACTATAAAAGTTAATGCAACCAACTGCCTTTGGCGCACCCACTTTTCGCGATGTGACGCATGTCTCTTCCCCACGCCCACACCCTCAGGTTGCTTCAGGTAGCGTTCATCTAGCAAACGAGTATCGTATAAATATACTTAGTATTGATGTAACGCTCCTTATTTTTATATAAAGTGCTTACTATTTTGGCACGTCATTCGGTTTTTTTATGGATATTATCTTAATTAGCACGACTATGCTTTATACTAAAATCGCTGATGAATCTAAAAATTCAGCGACTTTGCAATTGCAGCTCATCACCAGTAGCAATTGCGATTACTGTTTATAGAGTGTCACTAATTAATTTTTTCGGAGTAGAAAGAAAATCATCAAAGCAAGGTAGCCATTACACAACCCAGTATGGGTATTTGCAAACTGTTCCAATAATTAATAGCATGCTTTCTGATGATAATAATGAGTAAGAATAGTAAAACCAAGACGAGTCATTATCCTTGTAGATCAGCTAATAGTTATTTCAACAATTAGTTGAACTCTAATGCAAACTCAGTAATTAAAAGTCTATGGATATTTTGATTTTAAGCTAAATGTTGCGAAACAGAAAAACCTACCTTTTTCGAAACACAGAAGGTTATGTAGTTTACAGTGCGAACCGCTTTTGTTAGAAAATTTCATCAAGACTATACTCCACCGCATTGATCATACATAGAACACTATACCCAGAGTTAAAGCACTGAAAGCTATCTCATCAAAAAGCAATATCAGAACATTCATCTCTTTAGCAATAAAAAATCGGGCCGCCACTAATTTAGAGCCAACGAACTGCTAGAATATATATTCCAAAGAAAATATTTTCCAAACCTAATTGGCTTTCTACTTCTTGCGCAATGCTTTCAACACTCATAGATAGGTACATGGCATTTCTTTTAGAATGGGGATGGGGAGGAATTAGGCTACTTTAGAATTATGCGCATGAGTAGATCTATCCAGATCTCCAAGACTCATAATTGCTCCATCTTAAAAAATACAGTGTATGTCAGTCTGTTCATGGAAACAATTCTAAAGACCGGTATCTGTTTTTTGAAATGGAGTGCCTTTTCTCCACTAAATGTGGATTGAAATTGAATAGTTCATTTAATGCTCCCAACCATTTCTACAGACTTTCAGACGGCTTGCAGAAATAATTACAGATTGTGATAGATACTCGCTAGGAAGCAGGTCAATCGTACTTCTTGTTGTGGCTCAGCAGAGATTGCACTAATTAATCATCTAGAAAAACCTTCGATAAACATGTCAATTTTGAGAGAAAGTCACTGCTTAATAGGCGGTGCAATATTGATACTTTAACGAAGATTGTGAGTAAATATTGCTATAGAAGTGTTTTAGTCTTATTTTTATATATTTTCCAGCATAATACCAATTGAAAATAAACACGAACAATGCCTGAGGTATAGACTTTTAGTTTGTTAAAACTTGTTCCTCTGTATATTAAAATGAACACGTCGAATTTGCTTTTGTATTATTCATTTTCATTCAATAGATTTTATCTTTCCCAATTTCATCGAGCAAATCAAAAGTAATAACATAACGATGAAACAGCGTTTTCTACAGCAATCTAATAAGTAGTAGAGGTACGCGTAAACATCCCATCATTGCATAAGCGAGTCAAATGGTAGTTTTCGGTCAATTTTTTATACAAAAGATTAACGCGATTTGTAAGACATTTAAATCTGTGTAGATAACGTTGCATTATGCATCGATTGGAGATTTCCGTTGTCTTCGAGTTGAATTTGATGATATCGGTGATGATGAAGCATAATCAGACTGACCAGTTGACGGTGTTGGAGGAACCTGTCGGTCAATGGAACCAGACGATCCATTCTTTATCATGTCTTTCTGTGTCGGTTCGGTAGTCTGTTGTATGATGTAATCGTCTAAAAAGTTATTGGCTTGGTTTGGAGTGGAAACCCTCAGTACGTTCGATTGAGTGAATGAATCATAAGATATCGACGAAGTCGATTGGCATCTGGGAAAAGTTCCTGTAGCAAGAATACTTATCGAACAATTTGATTCATTTAGAGCATCATCTGTATAATATATATCGCTTTCGTATTCTTCTCGTTCTTGAAATTGATCTATTAAGTTTATACATTCATATTTATTTTTTGCGAAGTCAATTAAACTAGATGTCTTGTTATGGGTCATCTGTGTTTGTAGCGATAAACTATGAGAATCATCTTCAAATGCATCTTGTTTATAGCTAAAATTAAAATAAGCAAGCTTAAATTAGTTTCCTTATGCTATTCAAATAGTTGCGGCAATTTTAGTAATAATTAAGGTTTCATTAAATCGATCATTGATTATAAATATTGTACCAAAGAATTAAAATTATAGACGGAAGACAGTTCTAAATACTACTGAATACAATGATCAAATTACTAGTCACACGTAACTTACTATTTTCTGCGATGATTGAAGAAACTATTGATTCTTTGTGCAGCTTGTGGTAGAGAAAATCTTTGATAAATCTTAACAACTTTGTGTGGTATATGCCTATTATGTCGTATATAAGTCACATATTAACGATAGTTTCGTCGAAATCGACTTTTACACTCAAATAGAATACGTTCTTCTTCTACGCTAACACCAAACCGATGAACATCCATAAACACTATGCGATGGCAACGTTGTTCGAAAAGTGGTATTAATAACCAACGCGTCACTGAAACGCAATAGAATAAGTATACCTTACTGCAGTATCAATATTCTATGCAAAGAATGATATGGTCGTTATGAGAACGAGCACAGTTTCACATACAATAGTTGCTTATATGGCACATATATGACAGAACTAGTCACAGTTTGTTTTATTTCGGTATAAAGTGAGCAGACATTACTTTTTCTTTCTTTTTTCTTTTCAGACTTTTTTCATTTTCTTATGAGTTCATAGAAGTGACCTATTTAATGCAGCTACTTATTCTAAGCACACGAATAGTTAGAGTACTACTCTACAATACATTGATTGCGTATGCATTCGTTACATAAGATTTAGGTTTGCTATTTTCATCTTACTCCAAGACATGATAAATTTAGTTTTGAATAAAAATTGATGTACTTCTAGCTAAGCTTATCTTGTGAATAATGTGCAACAAAATCTTATTTTTCTGAGATTTTTTTTACTTTTGCTTATTAAATTTCTTGTAAAATACAGGAATACGGCATAGAAAATATTTTATTTATGTTCAAGTGACAATGTTTCAGCTTCTTGTTACTGAATGGATTATGATGTCTTTTTTCAATTCTACGAATAGAATCGGTACGAGCAAGAATTTATTAGCCTAATTTTTACCTCGCTTCAGTAAGTGCGAAACGACGATTCAATAAGATGTAAGAAAATTCGTTATTTGCCCCTGGTCGAGCATTACGACGACTAGATACGGCCGTCAACGGCCGTTTACGATGACGTATACGGTAGTACACACCAACCGTTTAGAAGCCGTGTCCGACCGTATACGGCCGTATCATAAACAGGAAACGACCAAACAGTGCAACGTAAACGGCCATATCAATATCGTAACCGACTGTATACGGCCGTAACTCTGAAGAGAAAAAAAATACATTCCTAAACCCCTCGGATCAATAGTGCGCGCACTACAGACATCAATTCTACTACATTTCCATAGGAATCACTGTAACCAAATGCAAGCAGCAAAAAAACCTATTCATAATCACACAAAAATAAGAGAAATCATACTTCCAACAGATCTTCTCCGAGCACTCTCTATAGCCTAAAATGCTCGCGCACATGTAAAGTAAACTCCATATGATTTTCCGCGTATCCTGCAACAGGGATCGTGAGAAATCTGAAAAATACAAAAATCATCAAAGAAATCCTGCTAAGATTACCTTTTGAACGTAGGATTAGTGAAGATAATGTCAAAAAATACCAAAAATTTGATATACGGTAATAAAAGTAATAGCATGCTTGGAAATGGCTGAAAAATTTAGAAGAATGAGCGAAATCACCGTTATGTTTGTTACGGAATTGGATCCTTCCGATCGTAGATGTACCTATAAAGATTGTTTTTTTCTTATTTTAGTTGATTTCTTCAGTAGCGTTGAACTGGAATTCGATATAGGAATATGTTCAGTATGGATTAGCTTCAAAATTTATCTCGCTTGCAAGGGAAAAATATGTTTTTGTTCGACTTAGTCGGAAAGGTCAAGTGGAATTTCAAAGTTTGCTAGATATAAGGCTTCCAGAGATTATTGGGAATCTATCTATACTGCTATTTGTGGTGAAGATGTATAGGAATTCTTGTATGTTGTACATTTCGGCAGTTTCTGATCTGCTGCTGAAATCCGTTTTGCTCAAAGTCTGGGTTTTGATAGAAACCGGCTTTGGCGAACTTCAGATCAAACGCGACTCTGGAATGAAGAAGTAGCGTGATGTAAATGAATTTGAAAAGTCGCGAAGGTTGAGAAATGATTTCGTGGACTTAGTAATATTTAGTTAAAAGGCGGCGCACGGCACGTCTTCTGTCCTTACCCATAACGTTTTTAGATGCAGAAATTCTGCTTTTCGATTTCTGAGTAAAAGTGTTCCGGAATTGGCGGACTTTGTCGCAAATGCGCTATTCATGATACTTCTACTCGATAAATGATATCCTGGACTCTCTAGGCCGAAGTGCTACGGCAGGGCAGCTCATGTCTTTCTGTTCTTACACATAACGTTTAGATGTTGAAATCCTGCTTTTGGATTTTTGAGTTAAAGTGACCCATAAATGATTGGCTTTGTCGCAGATGCTCTATTAAAGATGGAAACAAATGATTCATGAAACTTCTTTTGATAAATGATGAAAGATTGAAGAATCCGGAAAATGTGTCAGAAATCACAAGGAGAAATCATAGAAATAATAAAGGAGCACTGAGATTCTTGTGATGTATAGAGTTTTGGTTTCTGAATAAATTTTTTGTATAATTGTGCTGATAGAGAGTAAGCTATAACGTTATCCCATATAGTAGCCGGACCTTGCATCACTTTTGCGCTGCAACATTGACAATGATTTATCAGTTCAGGCAGTATTTCTTGATGTTTCTATAATTTTTTCATCTTAACTATTTAAGTTTCGAGTAGGGGATGTGCCTGACGCAACAGGCTTGTACAAATAGTGAGACTCTTCACGATAAAACGATTGGCGGACGTTGTTGTCATATAAGCTGGAATGAATTATATCCTTAGTAAGCTCTATAGTTCCTGATTTATGAGCTGATTTATGAGAATGTTCCGGGGTATTTCAGAACTTCACCACCGAATTTCGGAGTATTCTGCACAATAGAGAGTTCTGGCTGTGTTATGGTTTATTTTGATATTCTACCTGTATATTCCTCGTGATTAAAACTGAGAAAAAATAGCATTTAAATGATTTTTCTGACATAAAAAGTGATGAAAATTAAAATATTTCTGTCTGATGGAGAATCAAATTGATATCAAAACTAGTTAAATTTCTGATGACAGATTTAATCAGGTTGTTCGATTTTTGAAGGTTTGTATCCTACTAATATGAGATTTCTTTCATTAAGATCTGTTCAATTTTTTCTTGGAATTAATTGTGTTGATTTCTGATTAAAAACCGGATTTCAGTTGATGTAATGTTCAAAATTTATACTAAGTCGATTATTTTTTGAAAAAATATACTTGAAGGAATATAAGATTGAGATACCCTCTTGATAGAAAAAATCGTGATTTTCGTACGTTCGTGAAGTTAGCATCTTATTCGAGTGAAACCTTTCTGTATTGTTTTGAGCTATCGTTCCAACACGTATACTCATGTTCCTAGTAGAATTTCTTATGCTCTATCGAATGGTATATTTGGATTAACTTGATATCGACGCGTTCTCCTGAATTTTCGAAAAAATCCAAAAAGTCCTAGAATTTGTTTTGTAAAATCAGATTTTTTATCTTGCTGTAAATGGTCCCGAAAATCTCTAAATACTGTTTTTGTGTACTCAAAAAGTGAGTACACTACTAAAATCGGTCAGTGTGTCCGTCCGTTTATTCGATAACTCTTCACAATTACACTCGATTGATTTACAATTTTGTGCACACAATTGTCTTATCAATATCTAGGTCGAGTTCGAAGATGAGAAGGATTCGTCAAGAAATGACTGAGTTATCGAAAAAATTGTCATTTTTTATCAGACTATCCCTGAGGGNATTGTGTACTATGAATTAATAAGATCGACACTCTTTCAATTAACATATTGAAATTCCACATTATGTCTTATCTGTGTATACCAATTGAAGAAAGTTTTGAAATAACCATAACGTATCTGAGATTTCGTTGCACATTATACGTAATTATACTAGTGGCGGGTATCAAGTAGATGCACAGTTTTAGGTTCAGGGTTGCCACCTGATGAAGTTCAAAAAGCAGAAAACTGAGAGATATACCCACGATCCCCGATTTGTGAATTCTCGGAAACTCAGAGAAAATCAGGGAACTCAAGCAGTACCTAAACTAAGACATCAACCTTGAAAAGTGTCTGAGAATTCAAGCAATTCAACCAATTCAACAAATTCAAGGGAATCCAGAGCAAATCAGGGAATTCAAATAATACCTAAACTAAGACATCAGCCTTTAAAAATGTCTTAGAATTGAAGGAATTCAAGGAATTGAATCAAAATGAGGGAATTTGGAGAAAATCAAAGAGTTGAATGTGTTGGGATACCTAGCGGAACAGGCTACTGCAATCCGTTTCTTTTTGATGAGTTCGTGGCAGTGAATGCGGATTGTAATATTGTAACTGGTTCTATGTCTCATAGAGTGAATTTGGTTTTCCGCTCTGCAGATACTGATGTTTCTAAATAGGGGGAAGGGAGAGAATTCCTTGTGCTGATGTTGTGCTCCCTCAGGCCGAAATTATATCTTCGCTTTCTGTCGTTTCCATGCAGCTCAAAGGTGGGCGGTGTTAGATGTAAATGATCCGGAACCGAATGATGCATGGAAGAAGGTTCTATAAACGTGGCTGACAGCAGCATATATCTGATGTTGATTCCACTCAAAAGCTACTGATATTGCCTTCCCACATCCACATCAAGCGAAGTGCGACGCGAGTAACAGCGCCTGCCCACATATCGCTGGTTGCGATGTAACTTACTCATCGCAGGCATACCTGCCATGATGGTAGATAGTGTTATAGACAATGAGATTGGACGGCACACAAAGACAAAAGGGATGCATGGGAGTACACAGTTCTAAGTGGGTGAAGCCTTTTGAGTCAACCATCTCATGCTGATGACTCAAGGAATGCTGACTCCAGAGAGTAAACAAACATATCAAGGATGATGTATCATGGTTGAACGCCATGCCAGATACCTCTCTCACACCAACACTAGCATCAGTTGGGAAACACGGTCCCCACACCCAAATTAGCTAGAGTAGGAGATACCCTTCTCACATCCACACTTGGCTTATTGAAATGTGAGTCTCTTTCCCACACCCACACTTGGCTTGACGTAGTATGAGTCCCTTTCCCACACCCACACCCTTTTCTCTGAATTGCTTTGAATTCCGTTGAATTGGTTGAATTCTCAGACACTTTTCGAGGATGATGGCTTAGTTTAGGTACTACTTGAATTCACTGATTTTCTGTGAATTCCCTGATTTGGTCTGAATTCCTTTGAATTGGCTGAATTGGTTGAATTCCTTGAATTCTCAGACACTTTTCGAGGATGATGGCTCGGTTTAGGCACCAGTCGAATTTCCTGATTTTCTCTGAATTGCTTTGAATTCCCTTGAATTGGTTGAATTGCTTTGAATTCCCTTGAATTGGTTGAATTCCTTGAATTCTTTGAATTGCTTGAATTCTCAGACACCTTTCTAGGATGATGGCTTAGTTTAGGTATTACTTCAATTCACTGATTTGCTCTGAATTCCCCTGAATTGCTTGAATTGCTTGAATTCTCAGACACTTTTCGAGGATGATGGCTCAGTTTAGGTACCACTCGAATTTCCTGATTTTCTTTCAATTGGCTTGAGTTGCTTGAATTGGTTAAATTTCCTGGAATCGCTTGAATTTTTGAGAACTCCCAGTCCGTGGATCGTGGGTATTGCTGGATTTTTTGGATTTTTCGAGATTTCAGAAGAATGGTTCAAGTCTAGTTAATCGAAATATACTATTCGATAGGATATACGAGGTTCTACTAGTAATATGAGTATGGACGTTGGAAAATTAGCTCTAAAGAGCATCGAAAGGTTTACTCGAATGCGATGATAACTTCACCTACCAGATGGTCACTTAATACTTCTTAATGAGATAGCTTGAGTAAACGACAATCTAAAAAATTCTACTATATTTTAAGCTAGCAGTTAGTCATCGTAAACGACCGTTTACAAAAGTATACAATAGAAAAGCGGCAATCGCTTCCTGGAATTTTTACGGTCATCGTAAACGACCGTTTACTGTGATATCCGACAGTAGTTTACGGTTAGCGTTTAGTTACGATGGCCGTTCACGGAGATTTTTCACGGTCCTCGTTTACGACGATCGTATTTCATCGTATAACTTCGTTTACGGCAATAGCAAACGACTAAAAAATACGGTCGCCTTTTTTCACCGTGAATGATAGGTATACGGCCGTTTACGGCTCAGGTTGATCGACCTGGGTGAATAATATTCCATTTTTTCTCTTTCTCTCTAAAATTCAAGTTTTCACGAAGAGGTCGCTGTTGCTCCACTTTTCTGCGTAAAATTCATATACATACTTCGAGTAAAAACAGGTTATTTTTGTATTGAAGATTTTATTATCCATTTTAGACTCTCGTAGCTAACATTAGTTTCCCATTAACTAAATCGCTTATGAAAGAAAATCGCAAGCGATACTCAGAAAGAAAAAAAGGTATCATGCTGAACCTTTTAGGGTTCTTGATTTGGGTACCATTTTCAGAACCATTTAAGGTTCAAGCAAAATCTGGTTCTAGCTGGAACCTTTTCCTATTTCTTCCAAAAACGGTTCTATAATAGTAACATGTAGTCCACCACACTCAATTAGTCTAGTACTCTAGACTAATGTTTTATCCAACCATTAATTTCATATCTAATCCCTTATTCATATCTTTAACCCTTAAGTCTATCCTTAACCCTTAATTCTATGTGTTATATTTACCCAGATTTGTTGTGAGTAGAGTACGAGTTAGCACTTTCTTCGTTGTTCACACGAAAGGGGCATCTCCGTTAGTTGATATTGACAGTAGTGTCAAACTTGAAACTTGAATTCAACTGAAACTTCAAGTTTCAAGTTTCAAGTTTCAAGTTTCAAGTTTGACGTTATTGCTCTCACACTACTGCTTCCCCGGCACCCACATTAAGGGTCCATATGTGTGTGTAGACAAGCGAATCTCCCTTCCCTGGTACCCACACCCTTGAAACTTGAAACTTGACACTTGAAACTTGAAGTTTCAGTTGAATTCAAGTTTCAAGTTCGACATGTCTGGATGTTGAGACCATCCTAAACAAAACCAAAAAAAGAACAGTGACTTATATTGTAAGATTCAACTTACCATTAAATAAATTATTCACATATACCTAAAACAGCAGTAGACAAAAATCGATCGGTGAGATAAATGCTCATTTCAAGCGGAAAAGTGTCGTTCAGGTCAAAAATGAATTTTTTCCCGTTCTGTCTATAGCAGAAGATAAACTATAGAAGTACAAGTGACTGCATGTGTACTAAATTTATGTCGACCACTTTTGTCGTCACTGTTCAGAAAAGATATCCGTACATATACAACATATTGCATGCTATACAGAAATCCACAAACACCAAATTTCAGTAATTTTCATTTTCACTTTCATTCTTCACATTCCATCTTTCCCAACGACTCATTGAAAACAACCTTATTACCATCTCTTTCACATTCGTCACAAATCACCACAAAACTAACAAAGCTTTCACTTATATCGTAAATGATTTTCGGGATCCCATCTTCATGCAAACTTCCTGATCATTGTTTTCACGAAAGTCAACCATAATCTAACCGACTGCAAATTTTTTCAACATCTTTAGTATCGTGGAAACTCATTTTTCTCTTATCGCGAATACAAGTACGCTCATTTCCATTACATACGAACCCATTTTCCTTGTAGAAGAAAAATGATGTTTCATTTATCCAAAGCATTTTTCGCGTTGAATTTTTCATTTTTCCGCCGCGAATACATATATTCTAACTAAAGATCATTCACAAGAGCATTATTCTCCATACAAAAAATGACGTTTCATTTATCCAAAACATTCTCCTCATTGAATTTGTCATTTTTCTGCTGCAAATTCATTTTTACAGTGGTATGACGGTATTGGGGAATGGCTTATTCCTGTTACTGTTCGTTTTTTTGATGTGTGTATCGTAAGTTTAGTTTTGTAGCACTTTTGACCTGAGCATCATTTTTCCGTTTGAAATGAGCATTTATGTCAGCGATCAAATATTTGTCTAATCCTCCTTAAATCATTGTTCCAAAAATATAGTATCTTGGTTCATGCCAGAGCCATCTATGGAACAATGGTTCAGCATTAAAAAAAATGGTGCAGGGTGGAACCTTTTCAAACATCTGGAACTATTGAGGACCTGATTCAGTATCTTGACTAGAGCCATAAATGATTCCATATGACACCTATTATTTTTTCAGTGTTTGCTAGCTAAAAGATGCTTTAGTCATTTGCTTGTCGCTTTACCAATGAAACTTCGATTGGATATCTTGGACAGTGACACTTTTTCTACATTTCTTTTTTTTAAATCTCAGCAGCACATAACTGTAAAAAAACACTAAATTATGCGACGAAACACTAATGGATTAATCGCCACCGCATTGCTTATCATAGCTGTAGGAGTGTATTTTTTCATTACTCGTCTACCGCGTTGCAGTCGTAAATTGACTATTACTACATTCTCTCCATCTGGGTTGCTAAGAATCAATGTTTCCATATTTCACACGTGGCATATTCCGGACTGGGTTCAACGATATAATGTGAGTCATTTATTTGACTGGACGTGGCATAAGAACGGGGATTATGAGCGTTGTCAAAATAGGATCACTCCACCACCACATACATTCGGGTGTAGGGCTGAATCCCCGACTGTCGTAAATGATGCTCTTGAGTATTTTCGTTCTCATTATGATGAAGGATGCATTGTAGATAACGCTGCTCGTTTGCCAAATTTAGTTCCTCATCCTTTGCCCCGCGCTCGCTCTTTCTTCAACACATGTTATTCGCTTCATATTAATCGTGCATGGGCTTTATGTCGACAACGACAGTCAGAACTCGATGGCTTCCTTCCAGCAACCACGCGATTTGTAACAATCGCTGCATTCAACGCATTTGTCGATACTGGTCACTGCCATGCAGATGTACCGGGAACAGTTTTTACTGAAGAGGCTACTTTTCATCTTCAGGGGTGGACTGGTAAGTCCTGTGGCAATGATGCTATTGATAGAATTCCACAGATTGAGCCTAAATACCGACACAAAGAATTAATCAATTCGATTGGAACTTATCTTCATGCTCCAGGGCACTTTGGACCTCAGCAACTGCCACGGCTATTGCGTCTGCTTGCAACTGCACCTGAAACAGCTAAAGTTCTAGTCGCAAAAGGAGGCGTTGCTGATTCTTTACTTGATGTTCTGATTGAGCGAGGTGTAGTTACGCGTGACCGGATTGTTCCGTTTGATCAAAACGCGCGTCCAAATCACTTCGCTAATATGGTTTATCGGAGCGATTCCTGGCCATATTTAAGAGGTAAAGAGGGCGCCGTTTGTATTCATGATCGCACTGACATGCAACTCGTCCACCGAGTCTTAGTTGGCGATGAGCAGCCACCAATCAGCAAACGAGATCGTCTTATTCTCATAAAAAGAAAAGATGGGCATGCAAGATCCATCGTTGAACATTTGGACATGGCTTTACTTATGGCATCTGTGGTCAACAAATCTAAAGTGCCCTTGAATCTGCATATCGAAGTCTTTGAAGCTCGAGGGCATATTCGTGATCATATTGCTCTATTCCGCCGAGCACGTGTGATTATTGGTCCTCATGGAGCTGGTATGATGAATATTTTATGGGCATCACCAGGAACACGCGTGGTTGAGGTAGGATACACTACAGGAATGACTTTCCCTGAGATGTACGCCGAGATGAGTCTTCATTTGGAACACCACTACTGGGTCTGTAAAGGATATGGAGATTATTCTTCTCCGATTCATGTGGACATGGAAGATTTCACTTATATCTTCAATGAAATCATTCATGAAATTGAAATCGAGGATCAATTGTCTTCATGGCCGTAATTCAATTCGATTATCTGATTTCTGAGTCTCTGCAGATTACGAATAGCTAATGTTTTATCTCGAAAGATGGAATATATGCACCAACTGTATTAACAAAGCCTGGTGAGATTCATTGCGACTTATGGATCCTCTTTCAACAACACTGAATCATGTATGTTTGTTTTGAAAACCGAAAAGGCCTAAGTTATTTATGTTGTATTCTGTGTCATTATGTTTCACGCTGGATTACGTCTAAAGAAACTCAACTGAATCGTTCACAATCTGGCATTATCAGGCCGGCCTGGATCTGTCCCAGAAGAGAAAAAGGAAGATGCATCATTTCAGAACCGACTAAATCAGATTTTATTCTATACTGACAATTGAGTATATGGTCAGATTATATTGAAACAATTATCAGAAAATCATTTCAAGTTCAACAATTGTAATTAATTGAAATCATTTAAATATCTACTTCTAAATAATTTGATTAATATCGATTATATTACGCTCTAACCTGAATTGAAATACAAAAGAGACTCTTTACTATCAATGGTGTCAATTACCATTTCTCCTCGTCCATAATTAAAGTTACCGAATTGAATAAGGTGCAGCATGTGTTACAATCTTCTTCTTTATTTTCGTCTTCTTCTTGTTATTACATTCTCACAAGAAATAATCTCCCTTTCTTTAAACGCTAACACTCACTTAAATAGAATAAATACGAGAAGAAGAATAGAATGATTGTAAACGTGATAGCATTGAACCGAGAGAAGAAGAGAGAACATATTTATGACAGGACAGATATCTCCTGACATAACAGCATGTGGTTCAATTTTCAACAGTACCCATGACCCAGCAATCGCTAAAAAGGTTCTGATTACTCTTGATATATTGAAGGTCGTGGGTGTTGTCGTGATTGATTTTTTGCAGTGATCCACATCCAGTCCCCGAATAGAATTAGAGAAAAAATTATTTTGAAAAAAAATAATGACTTCACAGTTATTGCGTCTTTCTTATTTCAATATTGGAAACATACGAGCAGATATGATCAATATGACTACGAGACAAATTAACCAGACTAAAATAGAATTTCAAAAGATTTTCATCCACAAAACAAATAGAAACATTTGTTTCCTTCGAATATATAGTTCATGGATATTTATTTATTAAAAGTGATATTGTCAACAAAAGAATTAATAATAAAGATTTCTGTGCCAACCCTGGTTGAACGTGTATGTATCATAATATACTGTCAATGTTGTGTGGAATGATTGTTTCTGTTTGCTGTTCTTACTTATCATATCATTCGTTGTTACCTAACGTGTTACTCTCTCTTCTTATATATTCACCTAGTGTTAATTACCGTATTGTGCGTCTATCGCTCACCGTGCTCAGTGTAATCGTATGCACTATACAAACATATATCACTAATTATTTTATCTTATGTTTTCTACTGTTCTTGCTCATACTCAACGGTTGTTCTTTTCCCTTTCTCTGTATATGATATTTACTCTCCCTCTCTCGTTCCATGATCGCTATAAAAATAGTGGACGAGAGAGAATAGGGCATTCTTTTGGATAATAAACTCAAGAATCGTTACAATTTGGCATGGAAATTCATCTTGATATTTGATAAAAAAAAACTCTTAAAAGCAGAAAGAACGAGGGACATTTTGGGCTAGCTTCGGCCCAATTCTAGAAAGACATCGGTTCAGTCTGAAAGTTTCCCAAACTGCAGAGCGCATTGTTCTATATCATTTCTACAAGTTTCAGCTTGATCCGTTGTGCACAAGGGTAGTTGTGGCTTTGTTCGTGCGAGCATCTTTTAGGTACAGTGGTTGAATTTTGAGTCGGTACTTTTTCAGCAAAAAAAACAACATGTTTTATATACCATTCGATACAGAATTTTGTTCCGAACAAAACTATATATAGAAGTTCTAGTAAGAGTTGAGGATTTCTTGCAAAATGTTAACAATCCTATTTAGTGATGGTTATTTTCTGTCAGGTGCAGTAACTGTTGTTGCGTCATTTTACTGAGACCTGGAGCCATTTTTTACCATTGATAGAGCATTCGAAAAGCTCACAAATGAGGGTTAAATCATGACCAAAAACGTTTGCCCACTGCTTTTCAGCACTGAATGCACTGAAATTGAGATGGAAATTCGCGATTTTCTCAACCCAAACACAACATAATTGCAACGTGAACATCATGTTCGGAATCTACGCAAAAATTTACGTCGATTGAGTGTAATAAATATTGAGAACAGGGAGTTTCGATTTTTTGCGAAATCTCATTTCGTAATGCATGGGGTGAATCCATGGGAAGCGTACCACGTTTACATCAACTTTCTCCAAATTGACTGAAACTTTCATGGTTTGTAGAGCTCAGTGAGCTGATCATTTTGATACTAAATAAGTATAGGCTAGGATATGGACTTCGGGTAAAATTAGCCGAAATACAATTTCGCGAGTTTTCGAAAAAATGCAAAAAAAAATAAAAAATTGCATTTATTGTGAGAACGTTATCTCCCTTACTTCAACATTCAAACCAGCAGTTCCCATGTGAAAATTTCAGCGAAAAAGCTAGCTTAAACTCGCTTAAAAATTCGCTTAAACAGCACCTTTCAGCGCACATTTTCAAGCGTCTAAAAGTGCTTAGAACAAGACATCTAAGCACTTTTAAGTGCTTAGGATCCAACATCGAAGCGCTTTTAACTGACAAAAATAGAATATTGAAAAAATTAACTATTCGCGACTCTGAACTCTTTATGAACGAAATACACTTGAAATTGTGCCAAGTGCCATTTTATTTCATGTTATTTACGTTTTACTTCATTAGCAGCTAGTCGATCGATGTTTGGAAACAGTTCTGATATATGCCGGAAACTGGTCTCGAACTTTGCTCCCGTAGTCGATCGAATTGGAAGTAGGAGTGGCACTTTAACTTTACTTTAAAAAATAAAGTTAAAGTAAAACACTTTAACACTTTAACTTTAATTAAAGTCTAAATTAAAGTCGATATATTGATAGAGTATTCGATGATCATTCTTGACTTTTGTCATAATCTCATCTTCGCATCTTCAAAAAATTATTTTAACCAAATACAACGAAATCGCATTGAATAAAAATGTAATTACATATTTTACAATATAGAATTTTAATGTAACGGGATTTACTTGCAGCCACGCGCGGTAAGACACTTGAGCTTTATATGGATCACGAATTATCAAATAAAAATAAAACTTTTTGATATTGATTCAACTATCGGAAAATCAAATTATGAAAGAAGAAGGTTGTAATTAAGCGATTGATTCCCTGCTGAAGAAGTTGAAATAATAATCAGATTGTTGAGACTATCGAGTCGAGATTTGTTTCACATGAGGCGTATGTTATAGCAAAGCGTTTCTAATTCTCTCTGACGAAACCTATGTTATCTATATTGTTGAATGTTCTTTCTATTATGATTTACTTTGTGGTCGTTTCTCTTTAGTTTTTTTTATAACAAAGTATACGACTGATATATATCTGGATATTCAATGAATGTTTTTGTTCCAGTTGTTGCATACTGCGTTTTGAGCCTCTCTTGTGTTGATTCATTAACAACTTTCGTGCCTTTGAACGAGTCAATTAATACAATTTAATATATAAGAAGTTCAACAATAATTGATTATTTGGATTAATTTGTGGTTTATTCTTATTTGTGAAAAATGGAAGATCAAGAATTACCATCAGAATCAACATCACGCCCAATTTTTCGACAAAATCTCAATAAAACAATTAGTTCAGCAAATACACACATTGGAAATAGTTCATCTTCAAAAGTTCCTAATAAAATCGTTAAACTAACTTCAACAACAGCAAAAAGAAATAATCCAAAAACAAAAAGACAATTTGGTTCACGACAGAAAAGAACATATACTCAATCAACACCAAAATCGAAAACACCAACAACAACCTTTGACAATTATAGTAGTACTGATGACGATATGATTGGTGATCATGGTTCAACACCAGTACAAAAATCACGTTCAAATAATTCTTCTACATGTCAAATTAACATCAATGTAGAAGAAAATTTAATTCATCTTGATGATCCTCTGGCAAGCGATGAAACAGATAACAATGAACCTAATCCACCATCGAATGTCGTGCCAAAAACAACTACTAAAACCAAACAAGATGTATGGGAGTACTTTACGAAACAATATAATGGAGAAGTTAAATGTAATTTATGTCCGAATTCGTCAAAAGTAATACATCTTTTTCTTTTATTAGACCTTAGATGTGACTATTCTAGAAAAATATAGGTTTCTTTCGAATAATTTAATTTTCCACAAGAATTGCCTACGGTGTGTTATTTTACTTATTGTTTTTACTGCTTTTTCTAGGCATTTCCAAAATCAAACCAATTATCGGATACAAACCTTCGTAGTCATCTCGGTCGAGCTCATAAATTTACAGATTTTCTTTATCCATCACAACGTCCAACGAAACAATTACCCGAAGAAGAAACTCTATCTGTATCTGGTCAAAATAAAAAAGCGTTAGATACAGCCGCTATTCAAGCAATTATTGAAGACTCACATGCATTCAATATTTTTCGTAAATCTGGAATGCAAAAGTTTCTGTCATTGGCTACACCAGGTTATCGTGGTCCAAATCGAAAAACAGTTGTTAAACGTTTGAAATCTATGTACAAAGAACGACGATCAACAATTCGTAATAATTTATCATCCATTTCGGATATATCATTATCAGTTGATATTTGGAAAAGTATCCGACAAGATCATTTCTTATGTTTATCTGCACATTATTATGATGATCATTATGAAGCTAATTCACATGTTATTTCATTTCGTCGTTTTCTTGGTACACATTATAGTGATCGAATAGAACAATTTATTAGTCATGAAATCGAAAAACTTAATATTGAAGCAAAAATACGTTCAATAACAACTGATAACGGAGCTGATATCCGATTAGCTGCACAAAATCAATTAAAGTTTGGAACAAGAATTTCATGTTTAATACATGTTTTGAATTTAGTTGTACAAAATGGTATGTGGTTGTTCAAAATACCAAAGCGACAAACGTAAGCAATCTTTCTCTAAAAGAAGAGGGTGACAAAATCCTTTGACAAACAAATAAATGTATGTTTACGTTAGATGATTTTTTGATTGATAGACCAAAACAAAGTTATGCATGGATGAAGAATTCCCACTCTAAGCTTTTCGAACAAGTTTTAAATTCTACTGCACATTATTAAAGATTTTTCTCGTTTGAGCTATGTGGAACAAAATAGCATATGCTCAGATATATATGCAGTCAAAGATTTGCTAGTTGACTCGTTAATTCTGTTTTATTTCTGGAATGTACTTAGTTCTTTCAGGTTTAGTCAGCATAATCTAGCTGGCATGTGAGCTATTGAAAAGTCGAAGCGTAGAAATGTCTCTTTGGTATACTTTATTTAATGATCTAAGGCTAAATTGATAATGCTACAAATTTATTTGTTTCTTAAAAGTTCGTAAAAGGAGAAGTACACGATCAAATGATTAAACAATCATTTGATATTTATTCTATAAACATCTTCATTTATATCAAAGTCGATTGAAAATTGGTATCGATAGGACATAAGGAAGATTGCTAAAATAAATGAAATTCGTATTGTGCAATACTATAGTCAACGCTATTTATTTTACAGTTAATTTATTCAAATATCTTCCGTTTTAATGTATTAAGGGCTTTTCAACTTTCATTGAAACAAAAAATGTCGAAAAATAAAAATATCAGCGCCGGTGGCGCTTAATTCTATTTCGACAGTCTTATTTCGACCGAAGTTGAGAGAATTTTTTTATTTCTAACTGCTTAAAAACTCATGCAAATCAGTTGTCTTATATATAATTTTTATTTATAAGCAGTAACACTTGTGTTTTATTCTACTTTGTTTAGAAAGAATGAAATTATTGCTAAGCTGGTTCTATATTTTCTTGTCGAATATGTTTTAAAGTAGTTGAAAAGATAATTTTATCTCGCGTTTACTTAAACTCAAAATCGAGGAATAGCTTCTAACTGACTGAATGCATGTTAAAATTTAATTGTTGCTTCATATTTTTTCCATAAAATGCATTTTTGTTCTTTTCTTTTCAAATAGTTTAACATTATCTTCATCAGCAAATACCACTTCATCAACAATAACAATAACAAAATCAAATCGAACATCATCAAAAACAAATACAATCAAATCAAATACAGCATCATCCTCATCCAATAATATTAAATCAAATTCAGCATTATCAGCATCAAGTACAAGCAAATATAATACAACAGCAACAGCACTTCCTGATTCATTCACTGAAGATGATGATGATGATTTTACAATAAATGATGATCAAGTTTTGGACGAAGTAAGTGATGATAACAAAAGTGATAATATGAGTGAAGGTAGTGATATTGACAAATCATCTGATAATACATCAATAACAACATCATCATTATCAGATAATGAATCGAATTGGTCATCTCCAGAAAACAATACTGATAATGATGAATTAAATGAACCATTATCATCAACAATTACAGAAGAAGAAGAATTTCTTAGTCGATCATTTGCTGAACCATCAATTCTATTAATCAAAGTCAATGTTATTCTTAAACGTGTTCGAAGACTTGTGGCAATGATACGAAATACAAGTGGATTGAATAGATATGTTATCAAAGAAATAAAATTACTATTGGAAAATATAAATCGTCAACGAGAAGCTCAAAACAAAAAGAAGATTAACTTTAAACATTTTACATTGGATATGAAAATTAGATGGAATTCGTCTTTTATAATGATATCACGTTTTGTATTATTTAGTCCTATCATTACTTCATTAACACATAATCCATCTAAAGAAATCAATTTGAAACCACATCAATACAGAAAATTAAAAAAACTGTCATTTACATCACTTGATTGGTCTATATTAACAGCACTTGAAAATGTTCTTGAACCATTTAATCATTCAACAAAAATTTTTTCAAGTCGTCGGCGACCAACTTTATCCATCAATCAATCTTTTATTCATGCTCTAAGAAATTTTTTAACACTAGCCGATGATGCACCATTAACAATCGAAAATTTATTAAAAAAACAACTATTGTTGAATCTCAATTTTTATTTTGATAAACATGTTAGTGATGAACAATGTAAAGCAATGTTGGTATGTATAAAAAAAAGAACGTGCTTTGAAGAAAGAAGATGAGAAACACTTTTGATTGTTGTCTACACATCGAAAAATGAATAGCATTTTGTTTCATTTATTATCAAGCACTTTTCCGACTTGCTTCTAGAAGATAAATTAGGCATTATAACTATTTAAATTGTCATCAAGTTTGCTGTTGTTTATCTGATTACATGTTTTTCTAAATTCGTCTTTTTCATTTCGTCTTCGGAAATAAAATCTATACAAGCTAAAAATTAGCTGTTATCATTCATCTTTTCATTTCCATGTATTATTAGTTCAAACGATTTCATCAGGTCTTCGGTGAGGGCTTTCCGTATCGAGAAATTAGAGTCATTAAGATTTTAAATCATAGTAGAAAAGCAATACTCTGTTCAAAAGAGAATTATGAAATATACAATAATGCTTCTTAACAATTATTTTCAATAAAAGTCATGCTTTTCTCATTTTGTGCTTCATTACAGATATCCTCGTTTCTTGATCCAACAACGTATCCATTTTTGAGTTGCAATGATAAAAAAGAAGCAGAAACCATCATCTGTAATGAAGCTAAACAACATTATAAAAAATTAAATTCTCAATCATTAACATCATCAAATCAATCATCAATAACTAAACCATCAAATAAAGAACAACAAAGTAGTCAAGCAACGATATTGCAAAATTTTTTTTTAACTTGTGGTATTAAACTGCAAGCGACATCAACTGCTTTTAAACCATCAACTATAAAAGAAGAAATTGCTCAATATGTTGCAACGGTTAATCTTTATCAAACTTTTAGCCAATACTGGTATGCAAATAAAGATCGTTTACCTATTTTATCTTCATTTGTTCGTCAATACAACATCATGTGTGCGACTTCCATTGATTGTGAGAGTTCCTTTAGTATTGCTGGCTTTATTCATCGTAAAAATAGATCTTCATTGGCACCGTCAACCTTGAGATATTCAATGATATTACGTGAGCAAGTCAAAAATGAACAAACATAATTTTTCATGTATTTGTTGATGGTTTTTTAGTCTCGTCTTTTTGTTTTTTTTGTGCGTTAACTTATAATATTTTTCTTGTACATACAGAAAGATTATGTTGCTTGTCTATGAGTATATTTTTTTGTATTATCAGGGAGCGAAATAAAAAGAACTTCTCGTTAAGCTTTGATCTGAAAATAAAATAGGTATTGATATAAGATGTATTCTTTTACGAATGTGAAAAAAGACGATTTTCTAGTTTAGCCTGTAGTAAAAACAAAAATCGAGATGGCTATGTATAAAAATCTCAAACATAAAGTTAAGTTCTATGCATAACAAAAGAGCGTATTATTTCGATTATCATTCAATTTTTCCTGCATAAATGATTCAATTTAAAACACTTAAGATTTTCTCTCTATATCATAACTGTTGCTCTTCATTTTAAAAAATTGTCTTCGATAATCGAGAAATTACAGCTATACGAGTAGAATAACGAAAACAAATGGTAGCTACATAGGTAAAATAACCGCTAGATACGGGTTTCAATTATTTTCATTTCTCTTCATTGTCAGCATACACGATTTTGTTGCTCTTAACGCCCCAGGTAGTCGTGATACAATAGAAATAGTTCTATATAAGCAAGATCACTCATGAATTGACGAGGATACCTGTTTTTTAACAATTTCTGCATAAAAATATGAATAGTAAACTTTCATATGTACTAGAGAGGTCAGTAATCGCTCCGTCATCGGTTATTGTGTACGTGATAACTAAAAATTTATGGCTTAAATTTTTCCACCAAGAAAAAACTACTTTGCTAAAACAAGATTTTTCTTAATGTTAGATTCCACGTTTGTGAATCAGAAAATTTGAATCTCTAAACGCTTCTTGAAAATATTTCTGATGGTGTTTTGTTGAAAACTTCACTGTACACATGGGGATACTTGATAGTGAAAGGTATTTGCTTAAATTCCATAACTGATCACGCGTTCTCTCATAATTTGATTTTCCGATAGTTGAATCAATAATATTGATTCAATATCAAAAAGTTTTATTTTTATTTGATAATTCGTGATCCATATAAAGCTCAAATGTCTTACCGCGCGTAACTACAAGTAAATCATGTTACATTAAAATTCTATATTGTACAATATGTAATTACATCTTTATTCAATGTGGTTTCGTTGTATTTGGTTAAAATAATTTTTTGAAGATGCGAAGATGAGATTATGACAAAAGTCAAGAATGATCATCGAATACTTTATCAATATATCGACTTTAATTTAGACTTTAATTAAAGTTAAAGTGTTAAAGTGTTTTACTTTAATTAAAGTTAAAGTATTAAAGTGTTTTACTTTAATTAAAGTTAAAGTGTTAAAGTGTTTTACTTTAACTTTAACATTTAAAGTTTAAAGTATTACTTTAACTTTATTTTTTAAAGTAAAGTTAAAGTGCCACTCCTACACCGAATAATTTGTCTGCTTTTGGTGAATTAGTGATTCCAGGTTTTGAATTATATTTTATATCTAAGGATGATTCAGAAGATAGCAATTATGATCCTGATGAAAAAAAATTGAAACTGTCTGAAGGACATCGTCCTAATGATGATGATATTCAGAATAGTTTTGATAAGCAGGAAGAATTGTTGTGGCTACCATGTTTCATTCATACTTTACAACTTGCCGTGAAAGACGGACTGAATGAAAGTGAATGCATTCGGCCACCGTTGAGTAAGGTAGCTGAGATTGCAAAATTAAGTCACAAATCTATTACGACAGCTGAAAAATTACAAAATGAAAAATTTAGTATTCCAGAAGCTATTGTAACTCGTTGGAATTCGCAATTTCTTACGGTTTCAAAAGTTGTTGATATACCTAATACTTTATTAAATGAACGAACAAAAAAAACTGAATTATTACTTTCTACTAAAGACTTAGCTGTTTTACGTGAATTTGTATCTATATTTACATTGTTTGCTGAAGCTACTACACGAACGCAAGCTGAGCAAAGTATATCAATATCACTTGTTGGACCAAGTATACTTGCAATTTATTATGATCTAGAAAACGAATCAAGAATATGCAAGCATACAAAACCATTATGTCATGCACTTATGACTTCATTATTAGCAAGATTCGGTGGCTTTTTATTGAATCTTGAAATACCTGTCGATGATCATGTCAAACATCGAAACACGTTCAATCTTTTTTCTGATGATATATTTTTGGTTGCTTCTTTCTTAGATGGTCAATTTAGGCTACGCTGGATAATACAATCGGCTTTACCTCTAGATACAAAGTAAATTACACGTTTATTTTAAACTTATATCAGCTTAAACATTTTTCACATTTCCTCGTTCGTTCATTTCTTCTCAAAATTCATAGAAAACATAAACTTTCCGTTACGTTTAAAATTAAAAGTAAAAATATTGCCTTTTAGGGATCGTTTATGTGAAAAGATAAAGAATTTGGTTGCCCTTTGGGCTTTTCAACTTATTGGTTGTAATACTGATAATCAAGATGGTAATGTTACACAGGCTGAAGCAACTACATCAACAGTCGGCAACGTTTTATTATGTACAAAAGATATATGTGATGGTGGTGGTCTTACACCAAAACGAAAAAGCCTTTTTTCTTATTGTGAAGCACCACAAAACTGAATCAAAAAAATTGCGTGTCGATGTTATGAATGAAATCAAGGAAGAAATTATGCTATTCCTGAAATATCTACGTTATGAAACAAGTCTAATATTTGATAAGAAGAATCATTTTCCATATTTCCATAGATTAGCATTAAGAGTATTATGTGTTCCAGCCACATCAACTCCAGCTGAAAGAATATTCTCAAAAAGTGGGCTACTTATGACACCACATCGAAGTCGCTTATCAACGGACACATTATCTAAATTAACATTTGTTAAATGTAATGTAACCTTGATTTGTTAAAGTAAATACTTAAAGATTCTATGTGAAAAACTTTAAAAGAAATAAATAAAATTACTATTCATCATTAGTTATTCTAGATTTCTATTACGAAATTCTTATGCTTGCAAATTTTGTTCGAGAAAATTCAACGTTTTAAAATCGGAGTTGAAACGGAGTTGGAGTGGGATTTAAAAAAATCGGAGCGGAGTTGTGCGGAGTTGGAGTTGGACATGGCGGATTTGCCCATCTCTGGCACGTTTTGTACAGCAACTTTCAAACTATCTAAAACTATGACTCATTTATTTATTTTATTTTCTCTTTGTGATCGTTTAATATGGTAATACTTTTGCACACAAATGTAGCCCCAGATGAAAACTCTTTCTCTCAAAATAAGGAAACTGATTTTTGAAAAAATGATCTTGCCAAAAGACAGCATAAAAAAGCAGTCTTGAAACAGCCAAAAGTTTTTGAAAAGAATCTGATTTTTAAAGTGAAAAAAATGAAAAAAGCTTTTTTTCACTCACTTTGTAGCTCCAGATTTCAAAAATAGTTTAGTTAATAACTCCTGAAGTGCTTGCCTAGTTTCACTCAAACGTTCACCCTATATAGTATACAAAAAGCTCTTCAACCACACAAACTTTCAGCCATATAGCTTTTAAACTTTAGAAGA